CCCTGGCCAGGCCTGGCCCCATGTGTGAGGTCTCCGGAGCCCCCTTGGAGGGGTTTGAACCAGCGCACCTGGGGCCTGGTGTGCTGGGAGGGATATGGCTGTCGAAGCCCCCAAAGAGGGCCTTCCCACCGACAGGCTGGGGTGAAGTCTCAGTGGCCCCATGTGGCCAGGTCTTCATCAAAACTTGGCTTTCTTACCTAAAAGGTCCCCTCTGGAAGCCCCTGGTCTGCACTGCTGGAGGCCAAAGGAGAGGGGTGCTGGGGCCTGGCTTCCCGGGCTATGGGTGGGACGCTCCTCGCTCAGCACCCTCGACACCTGGGCTGAAGCAGCACAGGTCCAGAGGCGGGAAGGGAGGTGCAGACCCCAGCCTCGAAGGACCTGAGCGGGGTGGGAAGGCTGAGGCCAGGGCCGTCCTGGGGCAGAGCCAGCTGAGCTGGGCACACAGGCCGGCCTCCCAGGCTGGGTGCTGCTCTCAGATGCAAACAGCAGGGACGGATGCTGGCTGGCCCTGGGGTAAGGGCCAGTGACCTCAGCCATCCCTTCTCCTCCACGGGAGAGCACAGGGTACCTCCCAGGACAGTCCGCCTTCACCCTTTGGAGACAATTCACTTCTATTACAAAGTAAAAGTTCTCCATAGAGAGGCCCCCCCGGCCCTTAAGAAACCACTAAAAAACCTTTATTACATCAATATAAAGATAACGTCACTCTGAAAAAGGTTTGCAAATAAAGACAAATGCGTGCACCGAGCTGCACCAGCCCCAGGGCACGCACGCGGCTGACAAAGTCGGGAAATACGGACTTTCACCATGAGATTTCTCCAAAGCCAAAAGAAAGACGGAAATGAAGTATGTCCTCAGAGAAAAGGTCTCCCCCAGCCACGCACACGCGCACACGTAGACACACACGTCGACACGCACACACAGATCCTCTCACCTACTTCTGGCTTGTTGAAAACGTCGCGGCGCCCACTTTAGCTGTGAATGGGGCATGCCTGAGAGTCTGGGCTCCTACAGAGAAGTGGGGCCTCCTCAGGGACAGATGGGAGCAGGGCGAGGACAAAACCAGGCTGTGTGCGTGTGCGTGTGCAGGGGCGACGGCCTCTGTTCATTCCTGGGGAAAGGGGAGAGAAGAAGAGACGCACAAAACGGATCATCGCCGCACAAGCAGGGGGAGGCGGGCGGCAGGCTCGGCCTGGCCTGCAGCGCTCAGTTGATCTGGCGACAGGCCTCGAAGGTCCACTTGGTAGCTCCACCGTAGATCTCAATGTGGGACTCGGCCCAGGCGATGACGTTGCCGGACAGCGCCTTGGTGCTGCAGGTGGCCAGGTTGTATACCTCCCCTGGGGTCAGCTTGCGGTCCCAGATGTTGAAGTGGGCCAGCTCACCCACAAATGCCTGGGTGGCATCAAACCCACCACCCAGAGTGTCCTTCAGAGAAAAACAGAGGATGAGGGTGGAGGGGTCTCCAGGTGGTCTAGGGCCCATCCCTAGGCTGGGGGTCAGCGTCTCTGTGCCTTCCCCATCACGGACTCTCAGGGCCACTCCTGGGTGCCGTTCTGTCTCCCTGTCCCTTACTCTCCAGCCCTCCATCCGTCCCTCCCCCGAGGGAGCCCAAGAAAAGGGATGGTGCCGACCACCTCTGCCCTGGACCTTCTCCTGGGGGCACCTGGGCCCTGCCCCTCCTGCAGCTGGTCCCTTAGCCACGACAACCCTGCCCAGACATCACTCCACGCCATGCAGCTGCCCAACAGGAATAGACAGCCCTTCGTCTCCCTCCCAGGTGCCCAACGGGAGACAACGGGAACTAAATTATTCATCACTAAAAGCAGAATTGGCCTTCCCATGCCAGAGAAAATGTTGCTGCAGCTATGAGAGCACTGAAGCCAAAGCTCACTCCTGCAGGGAGTTCAAGCCCAAGTCCGCCCAGAGCACAGGCTTAGCCCAGCCTGCCCCCGGGCTGCTGCTCAAGGGAACCACCTCTCCGGCTACCTCCCTCCTCCTGGCTCCCCTTCCTTCCCGGCCACACCCAGCACAGTACCTGCTCCTGGCCCAGGACCAGCACGCCCTGGGGCTTGATGGGGTGATAGGGCGCCAAGTTCTCGCCGCTGCCACCCTGCGTGCCATCCTGGTAGGCCTCCCAGACCCCGTCCCGGGTGGTCCAGGTGACACAGATGTGGTGCCACTTGCCATCGTTGATGACAAAGGGCAGCTTGGCCACCTGGGAAGGAGAATGGCAGACGCCGGTGGGTACGGGGCTACAACTCAGAATCCAGGACCTTCATGGCCTCAGTTGTTCTATTTCTACTTGCAAGATAAATATCAGGAACTACTATTGAATCCTCACGGCACCTATGCCCCAGACTTCCGCATCTGCCAGCTGTGCCCGGGAGTGGGGCACAGAATCACACAGGAAATGTAGCACTCCACCCAGGGAACCCCCAGGGCCCTGTGGGTGCAGTCTCTTCACTCCTACTCACTCTCCTCCCTCTGCGCTAGTCTACACAACGAACCCTTGGCTGGAGGCTGTCCCTGGTGTCTGAGTTCACTGCTGCCGCTCAGGCACCCTTGCGACATCTCTGCAGCCTCCTCTCTCTTCCAGCGTCCCATCTCCAGCTGTTACACCCTCTCCCTCTACAACACGGCAAGCCCCAGCCGAGGATCCGAGAGATGCCATAGGGCACGACGCCTTTTAAAGCTCAGACCAGCCTCCGATCTGGCATTTCACTCCCCTGCTACCGTTCCGGGTGGGGAGGATGATGATGGGGAAAGAAGTCTCACATCCTTTTCGCTTCAGGAAAGGGGGCCCAGAATGGCACAGCGCTTTGGGGGAAGAGTAACAGGAACAGGGGCTTGGAATCCACTTCCCAGCCCAGGTTTTAGCCACTGACCACCACTGCTGGTCTGGAGTTGAGGCAGTTTGAAAGCTGGCAGCTGGTTCTGCAGCTAACAGGGGAGGAGGGGGAAGGTTCACTGGAGGGAAAGACTGTCTGTGCCGTCCTCTTCCAGGGCGTCACACAGACCTGTCCTTCCCCTGAGTTAGGGGGCTGAGGGGGATAGACTTGGACTCAGGAAACATCTCTAAGGCCCCCTTACCACCCTAGAGCATCTCTGGGCCCCCAGAATGGAGGGGCAAAGCCAGTTCCCAAGCCAGCTGGTGAAGGAGTCAGATCACACCATCGGGCTGGACCAGGCCCCACAGCTCATTCTCTGCCATCTCCCACACCCACCCCAGGAGGCATCTGGGAACGTCCAGCTCTCCCTGCTCTCCCTGCTCTCCCAGTAGAGGCGACGGTGCCCCTCCCACTTCCCCTGGTCTCCCCACCCCACCACCCAGTCCCACCTGGCAAACCCTTTCCTTGGGCCGGAGCCCTGTCCTAGCGTGCAACCTGAGCCCGAGCCCTGGGGCCTCGCCCTGCCGTCCCTTGAGGACGCTACCTTGTCATTGATGAGAATCTCCATGGGGTTGTTGCCCCACTCGATGAGGACCAGCTCATTGGCCTGGCCAGGTACAGCGTAGGAGAAGGGCGTGCCCACCCCTGGCGCGGCGCTGGACTTCAGCCACATGCAGACGGTGAAGGCGTACATCTCGGGCAGGCTCTTCTTCACCTTGGCGTACATGTAATTGGTCCGCAGCGGGAAGGTGAGCTGGAACTTGTCTCCAGGGCGGTTGTCTTTCTGCCCTGTGGAGGGTAGGACACAGCCTGACAGCTGCACCTGCAGGAAGTGCTTATGGGTGTGTCAGTGAGTTCTGTCTCCACCAAGCTCTGTGATGCGGCCAAGGCAGGCTCCAGTCTCCACTCTGGAGAGGCCAAGCGGGTGGCTTCCCAGGTCAAGTACTTTGCCCCAAGGCACAGGGCCAGTCCGTAAAGAGCTGACCCAAGCTCTCGGTGCTCCGGGTCTGGCCGGCTCTCACTCCCACGTGCTGGCATCCCCGGGGCGGGGGCGGCGCAGTGCCTAGTGGGCTGCAGCACATACACTGGGCTGCGTGGTGGGAATGGGGCATGAGTAGGAAATGGGGACAGCCAAGCCAGTGCACACCCAGTCAGCCCACGGAGCACCGGTGGCTGCAGAGGAGGAATGAGGCTAGCTGTCCTGAGAGTAGCCCCCTCTGGGGCCGACCTGATTCCAGGATGGGGCGGGGTTCCCCTCCTCACTCATCCTGGGCTCTGCTCCTGCCTCCCCACTCCTGCCTCCCCACCCGACAGCCAGGCCCTGGTGCCCACACTCTTCCCTCGGTGCTAGATGTGCATCTGACCCACCAGTGCCTCTTGGTGTGTGAGGCTGAGCATCTCCCCATTTCCAAGGCCCTTCCCGGGACTCTGCCTGGGGCCTGCTGAGGGGAGGGCAGCCAGGAGCCGGGACGCCCTTCTGGAGCCAGGGCTCCCCAAGGTGACTGCTCTAGGATGCTGCCACACACTTTTAGTGAGCAAGCGTCGTCACAGCTCAGGCTCCAGGACTGGTGGCCTCCCCTTCCACAAAGCCCATCTTCTCCCCTGCCCTCTGACAGCCACTTCTCCAGTGAGTGCCAACCCCACCCCCAGTCCATCTATATACTGTGGCACTCTGGGTGTGGTGTGACTGACTCCAGGCAAAACATTCCTGGGCAGCAATGGGCACCAGGACCAGGCCCAGAGCCCAGAAACACCCCCTCCCCCCGCCAACCCCTAGGTGTGCAGCCGTGGTCCTGCCAGGGAGCCCAGAAAGAAACCAGTTCCCCAGGCTAAAAATTATTTCTAGAAGGCATCCTGCCCAGCCAGCAACCACCCCCTCCTCTAAACCAACTGTCAGGGAGCAGGGCAGGGCAGACCCTTCAGGGCAGCTCTCCCGACTGACCCACGGAGGCCTGGTGGGGGGTGGGGAGGGACCCAGCCCCTGGCCTTTTCATTCCAGGGTGCTTTTCATTCCCCAGGCTCCCCCTCCTTCCCTCTCCCTCTCTCCTGAGGTTCTTCCTTCTCCAGATCTGTTTTTCAGTTACATAACAAGCCTTAAGATGGCACTGTTTAAATCTGTCCGGCACATTTTGCGGTCTGAGCAGGGTCACGTGGCCCTGCTCCGCACCGGGCACCCCCCCCCTTACAACCTTGTTTGATTTCTGCGACTTCAAGGCAGAGCCTCCTGAGCTCATCCAGGCGCCCCAGGTGAGAGCTGGGCTGGCCTGAGTGGGTGACTGGGAAGCCTCAGGGATTTGACAGATACCAGGGCCTGGAGCACCCGGAAGAGAAAACCTCGGGGTAGGGGTTCAGGACAGAAGTGGGGAAGAGCTGGGGATCGTGAGAAGACACCAGGGGCATGGCAGCTGCGAGGAAACCCGCTGAACAGCCCCAGCGGCCTGGGGACCCAGAGCACCCAACCTGCACCCAGCTGTCCTCGGAGGCTGGGGACCAGCTTCCTTAAGAAGGGAGGGTTTGGGCCAGCGGCAGCCACTGTGCAAAGTTACTGAGGATTAAACAAATCAGACTTGAAAAATCCAGCAAGAGTGTGTGAGCGTGTCTGGATGGGGGAGGGGGCACTATGCAATCCCTTCCTCCCTTCTGCTCCCCTTTCCCAGACACAGCCCCAGCCCAGGGCACTCAGTCCTGCCAGAAACCCGGACTAGAAACCCAGAACCTGGGCAGGGGTGTGGGGGATGAGAAAGGGCTGCAGGGGTCTGGGTGGGGAGGGTGGCTTGCGCTCGCCCTGCTAGGAGCTGGGCTGTTAGGACCGGAGGCAGCGTCGGGCAAGCAGGCGGGGGCAGGCAGCGCGGCTCCCCCGGCCCCAGTACCTTTCTCGAGCTCGCTGATCCGCTGGTGCAGGGAGGTCAGGGCGGTCTCGATCTTGACCCTCTCCTCGGTCTCATTCCGGGGGCCCCCCTTGCCCTCCTCCAGGGTGTTCACCCGGGACAGCACCTGCCTCTCCAGCTCATCGATCTTGCTCTGCAGCAGATCCTTGAGGCTGTTGGTCTGGCTGGAGGAATTGAGGCGGCTGTACTGCTGCGGGGGGCAAGAGCGGGGGAAACGGTTAGGCGAGGCTGGGGACCGTGGCTGGAAGGCCCGCGGCGCGGTCCCATCGGGGCGACTGCGGGGGTGGCCCGGCAGGGAGCTGGGGCGAGTGGCCGCCATGGGGCCTCGCAGACGCGCGGAGGCACCGGCCAGGCACCCGCGCGCAGCCGAGGCGGAGGTGGGGGATGCCTGGCCGGGTAGGGAAAGAACCGGGTGGGGGAGGGCAGAGGGGCGAGCGAGCCGGAGGGGGAACCGGAGCCGGAGGGCGCGCGCGGACCTCGAGGTTCTCCAGGCGGGTTTTGAGCGATTGCAAAGTTTGCCCGAGTTGGCTGAGCGTCTCGGCGGCCGGTGTCCGGGACAGGTCGCCCATGGTGTTCTTGCCCGAGCCGGGCTGCTTGCGGCCGCCGCCCGCCCGGGCCTCGCCGACTCCGGGGTCCAGCGTGCTCTGGCTCTCGCAGCGGCCCAGCTTGGCGGTCAGCTCGCGGATGGTCTCCTTCTGGCTCAGGATGGTCTCCTTCTGCTGCAGCACGGTCTCGCGGAGCTGCAGCACGCTGCTCCGGAGCTCCTCGGCGCCGCCGGCGGCCACGGACGCGGCGCACATGTCGGCGTCCACGGGCACCGAGGTGCAGATGAAGCGCGTCGGCCCGAAATCCTGGGCCCCGGCGCCCAGGAGGCAGAGGGCGAGCAGCGCACAGGTGCGCGCGGCGCGGCCGGCTGGCATGGCTGCGGGCACCCGGAGCTCCGGGCCGGGCTCGGCTCGGCTGGGGCTCGGCTCCGGCGGGTACCCGGCTCGGGCTGTAGCTCCGCGAGCGGCCCGCGCTCTGGGCGCCTCGCTCTCCGGCCGCGCGGTCCACACCGCCGCGCTCTCAGGCCCCCACTGCCGCCTGCGCTGCGGAGCCCGCGCCTTTTATGCCGCCGCGGGAGGGGCCTCGCGCCGCCGACGTCAGCGGGGGAGGAATCCCGCTTTAATTGTCTGCGGCCCGGGCCCGCGGCGAGGCGGGGGTCTCAGGAACGCGCCCCCGGGGCCGCCTCCGCTCGCGTCCCCCCAACCCGCCCCGCCCCGCCCCTCTGGGCACTGCCGCGGCCCCCTCCTTCCCCGCTCCCGCCTGGGCCAGCACTGCTGCCCCGAAGGCTCCGAGAGCCCAGGGGAAGGAGGTCGGGCTGTGGCCCCGGCCTCGAGGATGGACCACCTGCCTGGTGTCCCCACACCTCCGACGGGGCTCCGGGCGGGTGGGAAACCTCGGCGGGTCCGGGAGGCACAATTAGAGGTTCGGGTCTCCTGGCTGCACGGAACGCCATCGGACCGGGGGCATTGGGAGCCAGGCTGGGTCCCCAAGAACCCAGATCTTCAACATCCGCGTGCCGGGTGGTCAGCACTGCGGAGGCCAGAGCGGGGGTCCCCGGGCCGCCCCGCGTTTATCAGGTGTCCGTGCGCTGTTGAAAAGCCGCCAAGCAGCCTGGGTCCGGGGAATTCGCACGGCTCCCGACCTCGGCGCCTGCCCTCCCCCAGCCCTCGGGCTCTGTGGACCCGGCAGCGTCCCCCCACCCCCGGGACTGTCAGCCCCCACCCGGTGCGGCCCGGACGCCAGGCACTTCTCGGAGGCCGCCCCAGCGGTTCGAGCCTTTCTGGCAGCGGAGCCGGCCCGATTCCGGGCAGGCGCGGTCACCGGGGCTGGACTTTCGCAGCGGCCTCGGGAATGCTCTTTGAAAGGGGGCCCCGGGGGAGTAGCCGCCCGCACCCCAGCCGCTTCCCCTGGCCAGGCGCGACGCGCGTCCGATGTCCCTCGGTGTCCGCTAGTGCGTCGGGGGCTGTTTCCCGTCCGCCCAGCTGCGCCCATTCAAGCCCGAGGGCCAGCGGGAGGGGTCCCAGAGGCGTCTGGGGGCGTCCACCTGAGAAGCTCCGCACGTCGGCGCTGGCTCAGACGCCCCACCCGGTAACCGCGGACTCGCGCCTTTTAGTTGACTGCGGGGCTTGGCTCCGGGATCCCCGTCCGGTTTCCCACGCCGGGCTGGGGTCTCCGGACCGGGGCTGGCGCCGCCACCCCGCCCCGCAGCCATCAGAGCCGTGAAAGCCTTGGAAATCCCTCTGTCCACGCTCCTGCTCTACAGAGAAGAAAACAGGCGCCGAGACTTTGGGGCCGGGCTAGAGCCGTGGGCCCTCGACCCTTCCCGCCGCTCCCGGCCTCTCTGGTCCCTGCGTTCTGCAGCGGTTCCCTGAGCGCAGGGGGGACTGGGGGTAGGGGGCGTACCCAGCCGGCAGGGACCCACGGGCAGCCCCAGGTGCCGGGATCCGGCGTTCGTCCCGCGGGCGGGAGCCAAGACCTGCTGGATGGAGACCTTTTTGAGAAACCGCGGCCTCTTCCCACCCCCAGCCCCCCGGACTCCTGCGTTCAGCGTCTTAGCCTTTAAGCCTCCCTGAGCCAGGGCTGCGAGCTCGGGTGTCCTTCGGCCGCCGCTTCCCGGCGCCAGAGGGACCCCGCGGTCCGCACGCGCCTCTCCTCGGCCCCGCGTGGCAGGTGTGGGGGTTCCCGCTCACCCGCCACGGCGCGCCCAAACCCACGCGGCCCGCGGCCCCTCGCGTGCTCTGCGGACGGACCCCGGGCCGCGAGAGGGGTTAGCCTCGCCAGTCCCCATGCGTGGTCTGCGCCCGGAGCGCCACGGGCTGGAACCCGCCTCGGGAGGAATTCCCCGCGCAGGGGTGCGGCGGCTTCTGCCCCAGCTCCGTCGGGAGCCGCTGAGCCGGTGCCCTCCTGGCCCAGCGCTGTGGCCTCGCCGCCCTCCCGCACGCGTCCAGTGGGAGGCTGTGTCCACTAGGCCTGTAGCCGGCTGTGCCGAGAGCGCGCGCGGGAGAGGAGCCCGGCCCTCCCGGGGGCAGGCTGTTTGGACCCGGAGGGACCCTGAACCTGGCTCCGCGCCTCGAGTCCCAGCAGCGGCGGAGTCTTCCCGGCCTGGCTTTTCCTCTAGGGCTGCAGACCTCAGCGGTCCAGCACCTGGCACAGATGAGCAGGTTTTCCTCCACAGAGGACCAGAGAGGACGGCGTCAGAGAGGGAGGGGAGCCTGGGCCAGTGTCTGGGGCAGCCTGTGGGGCCCTGGGGGAGGAGACCGCGCTGGATGGGCCGGGACCCTAGGGTCCAGCCTGCGACTGCCTTGCAGGAGGCACTGGGCAAGACACCTGCGGGCGCCGCACAGACACGCGAGGACCACCATGCCGCTTTTCTCCCTTGCAAGACACTGGGCAAGCAGAGGTCCAGCCCTGGTCGTGTTTGAGGTTCCCTCGGCCTCCCCAGTGTTCTGCAAGTATCCGAGAGGGAGGGAGCAGGAAAACAAAGGGCCGCCCTGACCAAAGTCATCGGGGTGTCTGGCTCCCAGGTCGGAAGATCCAGCTGGGGTGAGGGATCTTCCATAGGACTCCCAGCTGGGTACATTTGAGGCTGCCCATGACACGGTGTCACTCGTAGGGAAGCCAGGCACACTGGCACACTATCATTTTATTTCTGAGACAGGGTCTTGCTCTGTTGCCCAGGCTGGTGTGCAGTGGCGCAGTCACAGCTCAGTGCAGCCTCTACCTCTTGGGCTCAAGCGATCTTCCTGCACCACCACACTCAGCTATTTTTTTTCTTTTTTTTTCTGTAGAGATGGCTGATTTCTTCTCACCTTGATCTTGGAACTACAGGTGCGAGCCACGGCTCCTGGCCTAGCACAGTGGTATATATTATAGTACTCCCACCATACTGGTGCAATAAATGTGAATAAATCCTGAAAGCATAGACAAGGCCCGGTGCGGTGGCTCAAGCCTGTAATCCCAGGACGTTGGGAGGCCAAGGCAGGTGGATCACCTGAGATCAGGAGTTCAAGACCAGCCTGGCCAACAAGGTGAAACCCCGTCTCTACTAAAAATACAAAAATTAGCCAGGCAAGGTGGTGCAAACCTGTAATCCCAGCTACTCGGGAGGTGGAGGCAGGAGAATCACTTGAACCCGGGAAGCAGAGGCTGCAGCGAGCCGAGATCACGCCACTGCACTCCAGCCTGGACAACAGAAAGACAAGAAGGTGACTCTGTCTCCAAAAATAAAAAAAGACAACGGTGTAACAAAATACCTAGAAAGTGATGACTTTGGAGTATTTATTGCCTACTTAAAATATAATTTATTTAATTATACATTTACTTAGTTTAAAATTTAATGGCTGGGCACAGTGGCTGATGCCTGTAATCTCAGCACTTTGGGAGGCTGAGGCAGGTGGATCTCTTGAGCCCAGGAATTCGAGACCAGCCTGGACAACATGGCAAAACCTCATCTCTACAAAAATACAAAAATTAGCCAGGCATGGTGGTGTGCACATGCAGTCCCAACTACTCTGGAGGCTGAGGTGGGAGGATTGCTTGAGCCTGGGAAGTTGATGCTGTGGTGAGCCAAGATCGTGCCACTGCACTCCAGCCTGGGTGACAGAGCAAGATCCTGTCTCAAAAAAAGAAAAATTTAAAAAGAAGGCTAGATAGGTAGGTTGGGCAGTGTCAGAAGGACCTCGGTGCACATCAAGAGTCTGTACTTGGCGGACGTTGGGAGGTCCTGCAGGGACGTGCTGGAGCCTGGCAGGTGCCTGCGCCCTTGCTCACGCTGCAGCAGCTCCTGGGCCTCTCCTCTTCCAGGCCATGCCTTGAACTCATATGGAACCTCCACCCTGAGCAGGAAAGAGGGTGAGCAATGGGTGGGTGCTGGGAGAATGCTGGGAGGGCCTGTGGGCACTGGGAGGTGCTGGGCAGAGGTCCCTTCCTCGCCCCCACCTGCCTCAGCCCTCCAGCATGAGATTCCATGCTGCCTCTGGAGGGGTGAGGCTGGGAGGGGAGGGTGTGGTGGGGTGGGAGAGGCCCTGGTCCCCCACCTGCAGAAGAGAAGCAGGGGCTCTCGTTGATCACAGTCCTGGGACACAGCACCTCAGCCCAAGTTAGGACATGGCCCTCTGGAGGACAGCTGTGCCCCCAGAGATGCACTGCATTGCAGCTGGACTAGGAGGGGCCAGTCTGCGGTGAGGTGAGAGGTGGGGGTTCTGAGTGTGGGGGCATTCCCTGAGATGTTCAACACCATTTTCATCTGCATCCGAATGTTCAGCAGCTCCCAGGGTGCCGACATGTTGTTTCTCAGTCTGAGTGCTGATCCCTCCGGGGTGTTGTTTCATGGCCATTCACTGGGCTGTCCAGGTGCCATCCATGCTCTCTTCTCTGTGGTTCTGTGCCTCACACACAGTGCGGGGACAGCATCCACGGGTTGTCCTGGGCAGAGGAGAGAGGCATTCTGGCGCACCAGGGGAGAAGGCACAGGGGCCTCTGGCAGATGAGCCTTCAAGAAACAGTCAGGCCACGTGACCCTTCCCCCAAGTGAGGCGCCCCTGGACCCACAGGGGTGGGTGTGGGGCTGCTCTGACGGCAGCCAGCCCCCACGGGACCTCTGAGTCACAGCCTCAGCCCACCTGTGCCTCAGAGTCACTCCTGACAGCCCCACAAACCAACTCTGTGTGATAAGGGACAGGTCCCTGCTCCCCGCTCTGCTGAGGGAGGCGCCCGACTTGAGCCTTCCCCTCTGTCCTCTATCTGACACCCCTGCACTGGTAACTGAACTGCATCTTACAAACAAGCACTTGTCCCCTTTCCAAGTCCTCCCACCACATTCACGCATTCGCCTGTCAAAGGCAGAGCTGGGCTCTGGTCCTCGCTCACCGGAGAGGAAACCTAGGGAAACCCACGAAGCCAAGGTCACACGGATGTCCAGCGAAGGCAGAGCCGGGGCCAAGCCCGGCCTTCACACGCCATGGCCACTTTCTCTCTGCCCAGCACAGGAGCTGCAGGGGAAAAGCCCTGGGGGACGGTGCCCCAGCCCACCCATGCCCAGTGAGTGGTCAGGGCAGGTGTGGTTTCGGACCCCAGGCTCAGGAGCTTCTCACCGGCCATCCTCAGAGGAGAAGCCAGCCCTCACCCCAGGGCTGTGCACTGGTGCCCACAATGCAAATGCCATGAAGACTGCAGCAGCTGCAGCCAGGAGCCAACGGGTCACGGGCAGTGCCCCATTTGCCTGGGACAGCTGGGCTCCCACCCCAGACTCCCTTCTCCTGCCAAGGGTTTCCCCACGGCAAGGACCGCCTTCCTCCTCTGAGCCAGCCAGGCAGCCACTAGCCCAGTCTGGCTGGGGACAGAGTCCTCGGTGGTCTATTTCCCCGCCCTGTCCTTTCCTTCTCTCGGGCCGAGCCCAGTGCTGGGATGGAGGATGGGGAATGGGTGCTCCTGAACTGCTGATTGGCTGATCCCTATCACCCACCAGAAGCTGCAGGGGAAAAGTGAGCACTTCCCAGCTGGGGAAGGCATGTCTTCCTCTTTAAGGGGTTTCTTGGCACCAGGCAGATTCTCATGCATTTGGCATAGTGTAACCATTCAGAACAGTTGTTCTCTGTTCAGATATTTCCAGAGCATGCATTTAGGGGCAGGCCAGGTGATGGGGCCAGGTTGAGTCAAACACTATTCTCCACCCCAGAGACCACTCGACCTGTCAGGCTACACAGGGATGGGTACACCTTGGGTCCCATGCATGAGTGAGGGCCACGGGGCAGGAGGCGCCAGGCACATGGGCGGAGTCCGGCCATCAGCAGGAGGGGTCTCCTGTGGAGGTGATAACAGGGGTCTTGAGGAGTGAGCTGAGGGGCTGGCATGAGCAATGCCAGAGCCATGAGGGGCAGGCCGTGGGGAGAGGGACGGAGTTCATCCTGCCAAGAGTGAACTGCAAAGCAGGGGCCGTGGTAGACATGGGGAATTGTGGACAAGGTGGGCCAGGACCTCGGGGAGCGGCCGCAGTCCTGTGGGGACGCTGTCTGGGAGCCCTCCGTGAGGGCAGAGCTGAGCGGGAGTGGGGCTTGCAGAAGAGGCCTGGAGGATGATGTCATAGGAGCCAGGGAGGGAGGGGGCTGGGTTTGAGACGCTTGAGGGCATTTGGGAGATTCCTTGGCAGGAGCTTGGTGGTGGCTTGGGTGTGGGAAGTGAAGGAGAGGGAGGAACCTGGGAAGATCCCGGCTCCTGTGCGAGGGGGTGGTGGTGATCCTGCCTGCAGAGAGGGGTGGGGAGCCCGGGGAGGGGGTGGCTTGGAGGGAGGGGGAGCCCGGAGTTCACACGGGGACACATGGAGTTTCCAGTGACTTTCTGACATCTGTGAGGAGGTCAGAGCCCAGCACCGAGGTGGCTCTCGAGATTGCAAAACCAGGAGGCTGGTCCTGAGCTGACCCGAGCAGAAGGGGCCTGGGGCCTGAGGGTGCACAGGGAGGACGGAAGCGTCTTTAGGGGCAGTGGACTCACAGCCGAGTCAGTCGGGAGCCCCCACAGGGAGACAGTGGGTTCAAAAGCAGAAGGAAGCTGAGAAGAGCACCCTGGGACTCCCATATTCAAGGACCATTGTTTTGAGATTTCTGACCTCGCATTCAACAGTGACAAGGGCAGCAGATACCAGTGCTCTCAGTCCAGGACCTTCTGGACTTCAAAATGCTTTCAAGCACCCGCCTTCTCTGCATCCCCAACATGGAGCTGGCGAATACAAAGCCAGGTCAGGAATGGCCCTAGGACCCCCACCCCAGCCCCCCAGTTTGCATTCATTTGGTTCCTGAGCTAGGACACCCCTCCAGCTCCAGCATCTGGCTGCTGCGATGGGGGCCAGGGGCTTCCAGGCTGCTCTGTCCTTGCACATCAATTTTACCACCTGCCAGACGCCAGGAGAGGGCATATGAAATATAAAATGAGTTGAGGCATAAAAGTGTTTTGGAATAAAAATGATGTGCACTGGCAAGGGATTACAGTTATTACAAGGACCATGCGCTGACGCCATCACTCACACCTAGGAGTGGGAGAGTGTGGTCGCCTGCCGACAGAGGCAGCAGCCAGCGTGCCTCCTCCTCTAGGGACAGGGCTGCAGGTGGAGTGAAGCCAGCCCTCAGGGAGTGTCCAGGGCTCTGGAGTGGTGGCTCACAATGCAGGGCCGGCGCAGTAGCTGACGCCTGAAATTCCAGCACTTTGGAAGGCCGAGGCGGGCGGATCACCTGAGGTCAGGAGTTTGAGACCAGCCTGGCCAACATGGTGAAACCCTGTCTCTACTAAAAATACGAAATTTAGCCAGGTGTGGTGGTGGGCGCCTGTAATCCCGGCTACTCGGGTGGGTGAAGCAGGAAGATTGCTTGACCCTGGGAGGCAGAGGTTGCAGTGAGCTGAGATCGCGCCATTGCGCTCCAGCCTGGGCGTCACAGTGAGACTCTGTCTCAGAAACAAGTAAACAAAAACAATTAGGTACATTGCAAATACGAAAGTTTTTTTGTTACATTTCCCAAGGTGTCTTCACATAGATTACTTCATTGGATGACCTAACACACCCAGCAGGTGGCTTTGGCAGGTGGCATTCCTATGTTTGATTCTGCCCACTCTGCAGAGGAGGCAAACAGGGATCCTCCACCACGTCCGTCCCTCTCCATCCCATCCGTCCCTCTCCATCCCACCCGCCCCTCTCCATCCCACCCGTCCCTCTCCATTCCATCCATCCCTCTCCATCCCACCCGTCCCTCTCCATTCCATCCATCCCTCTCCATCCCATCTGTCCCTCTCCACCACACCCATGGTGAGAGAGCAGAGGGAGCTCCTGCCTGGCCCCCGCCCTCCCTGCCAATATTCCATGCTCTTGGGGCACCCAGCACAGGTCCCAGCGCTAGGCCCACAGCTCCCCAATGTGTCCCAATAACACGGTGCCTTTGACTTCAGAGGGCAAGGGGGAGCCATAGAAGGTTTTGGGACAGGAGCTGTCATGGCCTCCTGATGGAGACTGGATGCAGTGTTGGGCCGTAGCAGGCAGGAGACTCCTCAGGAGGCTGTCCCAGTGATCTGGTAGTGTGACGAGCGAGAACAACAGTGGGGGTGGGCAGTGCACCCCAAGTTGTGCCATATGTGGCTTCCGCGTCTCAATCCGTGTGAACTACAAGGCTGGCCATGATCAGGGCCGGGCCTCTGTGGCTGCTCAGGGTGATTTCTCATGGATCCTGCAACCCCATCTCCCCTTCACAAGCCTCTGGCCAAGCCCTGCTGGCCCCGGTGTCTGTGTCCTTGCGCCATAGGTCAGTCTCAGACATTCCTGTCACTTGTGCTTCGTGGTCTTTTCCCAGCCCTGGCTGGCATCTCCTGGTGTAGGAGAGAGAGAGGCTGGGAGGAGAGCAGCTCAGCCCACAGGAGGTGCCCGTGGAGGCTGGTAGGAGCCTGGGCCCCCTGCACCCTCCCCAGTCCTCAAACCCTAGGCCAGGGTCTCACCCTCCACAGTCTTGATTTCTCCACCTGTGAAGGAGCCGCTTTTCCTGCCTGCCAGGAACTGAAGTCAAAGGCACAGCGTTATTGGGACACACTGGGGAGCTGTGGGCCCAGTGCTGGCACCTGTGCTGGGTGTCACAAGAGCATGGAATATTGGCAGGGAGGGCGGGGGCCAGGCGGGAGCTCCCTCTGCTCTTCGGACGCCCCTCCTGCAGCTCTTCCCACCACCCCACTCCCCAGTTTGCTCTGCTTTGGGTGGCCAGTCACCCAGGGGTTGCATCCAGGGAGGCTCCTGCAGGCCCAGCTTCACTGGCCTGGGAGGGCTAAGCTGCCTGGCCCAGGGGCGTGCCCACTGCGTCCTGGGCAGACTATGGGCACCCTGCAGGTGGAGTCCCATGGCGGGGCTGGAGCCTGGGGTAACTCGGCAGGACAGAGGCCCGGCCACCAGAAATCTCGCCGGCTGATAGCCAAGCTCAGGGCACCTTGCACCCCTGTACCTGAGGACGGGTTGCAGCTGAGGAGAGTGCCGTCATCCTCCGAGGGGAGGCACTCAGCCCTGCCGAAGCCCCTTTGAATGAGGGGAGGCCTTGGGAAGCTGGGTGAGGGGTCAGAAGCCGGGAGCTCTGGATTTCGGGACTTGGAAAAAATGTGCTACATTTTGCTGCAGTATCTGCTTGTAGGACCCAGTGCTCCCAGCGAGACCTCTCCATCCCCTCCTCTCCCCGCCCCTGCCTCACACCCTCTCTCTCTCCCTGTCCTTCTGAGTCGTGTTTGGTCTGTGATGTCACCGCCCCCTCCCTGTGGCTGCCATTCAGAGCTGGCAATAATGAAAAGCGCCGGATTCCCACTCACTGGGCCCCAGCGGCACTACAGACACCGAGCCCTTTGTTGCATATAATTAATTTGGTCCCATGTTGCGTAACATCCTAAAAAGCTTTCCGGAGCGAGCACCCGCCAGACACCGTGATCTCATCAATACTGCATCGCATTGGACACTACTGCTGTGTGCTTTCATTAAAAATTTAATTTGTGGTTTAAATCTGCATTGTTCCCTTTAAAAGGTTGGCGGGGCCTGGGATGAAAAGGGAGGGACAGGCTGGGGTCTGGGGGTGGACATTCTGGAGTAGAGGAAATCCCACGCCCCTGGGGAGGTGGGGGCGGGGCTTCCCACTGGAGCAGCTGCCCCTCTCCGATTGGCTGGGCTTGGTCTGTGGCCTCTCCTGGTGCTGGAGGGAGGTGGATGGACCATTGATGGAAAATGCTTTTCTGAGGCTTAATGGTTTTCCCTTCTTCCTCAGCCACCTCGGGCAGAGGGCTGCTCCTGGGAACCCAGACACGGGAGGAAGGCCAGGTGATGGTGCAGGAAGTGTGGTCTGGAGATCCCATCCTCTGTGCCCTCCAGACCCAATGCCCACAGTAGTCAAGACCAGAGCTGCAGCCCCGCTCCTACCCTCCTGGCTGTGGGGCCTCAGGCAAGCTGCTTGTCCTCTCTGAGTGCAGGAGAGTGAGTGGGGGCCTTGCGTGTCCCCAGCGCCAGGTCAGCACCCCCGGCATCACCCTCACCGCTGTGTGGCCACGGGGCAGGCAGCCCTTGCTGACTGGGTAGCAGACCCTCTGGAAAGGCCGAGGTTCTATTTTCTGTCTTTGTCTAGACCTCACTCTCTTCCAGAGAGGATTTAAGCTAGCCTTCGTCATCAGTACCGCCTGCAGACCCGGCCCTGGGATTTATTTCGCTGCGAATGGGGGTCTTATTGTTTCCATTGTGTGTGGTGGTGGGGCATTGGTTTCTCTCCTGCTTCCAGTGAGCAGGGAGGGGACGAGAGAGCTCAGGTTCTGCTCAGCGAAGGAAAGGGAGGAAGGTGAGGGGAGCAAGGAAGAGGAGGAGACTCCATGGCGACTTCAGGATGCCACCTGCCTGGCTCTGCCCCAGGGCTCTTTGGTCCCTCCTGCCCTGGCAAGGCCAGTTGTTTCCCTGCGGAAGGCAGGGATTTGTGCATCTCCGGCTATCTTCTGACAGCGTGCCAGAGTCATTAAGCTAAGCCTCCTGGGGCCAGCAGGAGAGAGGGGACAAATTGCTTCGTGAAATTGATTTGCTGCTGTTAGCATTTACAGCTTGCCCTGGGTGCACCCACAGTGTGAGAAGGCTGCGTGGGGTCCCGCCCCCCTTCTCTCCCCCACTGCACCCGGGCTCTCACTTGGCACCTGCACACACATCACCTGCCGCATGGCACAGAGCCAGGCCTCAGGACACGGACCTTGGTACTGCTCACCTCAGGGCACAGGTCCAAAGCGTCCCAAATGCCCATGGGGGCAGATGGCCACCCACGGCTGTGGCGCCCAGGAGCGCTGAGAGGGTACCTGGAGGCCCAGAGAGGAGGTGCGAGCTAGCCCTGGGCCGGGGTCTCCCCAACTCTTTTTTTTTTTTTTTTTGAGACAAAGTTCCGGTTGTGGCCCAGGCTGGAGTGCAGTGGTGTGATCTCGTCTCACTGCGACCTCAGCCGCCCAGGTTCAAGCGATTCTCCTGCCTCAGCCTCCTGAGTAGCTGGGATTACAGGTGCACGCCACCATGCCCAGCTAATTTTTGTATTTTTAGTAGAGGCTAAACATGGTTTCACCATGTTGGCCAGGCTGGTCTCGAACTCCTGACCTCAAGTGATCCGCCTACCTCAGCCTCCCAAAGTGCTGGGATTACAGTCGTGAGCCACCGCACCCGGCCTCTCCTAGCCTCTTGGGAACCCCTTCTGCCACTCAAGCTGCCTCCCTCCATTCCAGGGGAAGGGGGGCACAGACAATGTTGCCCTTGTCAGCAGCGGCTCTCATAGAATCTGTGTGAACTCAGGTGACAGTCATGGACCCACACAGCTGTGTGCTGGGACCAATGGATCCTCCCAGACAGAGAAACGTGGCTGAGCATCGCCACCCAGGAAATAGAAAGCACTGACAGTTCCTTCCAGGTGGGTCCCACTATGCATCTGAAGAAACGCACGCTTGGTAATGAGGCAACATGGCCTCGGTGCACCCCAGGAGACGGGAGACTCAGGCTGCAGCCGCTGCTGCGTTTAGTAACCTGCTTTCAGGCTCTCCTTGGGCACTAGCTCTGAGCAGGCTCTAGGCAGGACTGGATGGTGGGAAGGGGGTCCAGGAAGTATGGCTGTGAGAGGAGCAGCCTCAGTATCTCTCTGGGGCTGGAGCCAGCTCCATCGCTGAGCTGCTGTGTGACCTCAGACAGGTGACTTCACCTCTCTGGACTGTGGTAAGGGTTAAACTAGACAAACCCCACGAGGCTCTTAGAACAGTACAGGTTGAGGCCAAGGTGGGCAGATCACCTGAGGTGATTACAGGCACCTGCCACCAAGCCCAACTGATTTTTTTTATTTTTTCAGTATTTGTATTTTTAGTAGAGATGGAGTTTCACCATGTTGGTCAGGCTGGTCTCAAACTCCTGACCTCAAATGATCAGCCCATCTTGTCCTCCCAAAGTGCTGGGATTACACATGTGAGCTACTGTGCCCAGCTGAGTGTCATCAGCATTGTGACCTAGTTTTCCTCACACTCTGACACCAAATGTGTGAGAGCTTTCTTACATCAGCCAGTTCTTCAACTTCCCAGACAGCTGAGTGGCCTTCCATTTGCTTCAATTCTGACACTAACTGCCTGTCATTAGCACAGACCTCACATTTAAGGCTCAGTTCCACGAGACTGCCCCCTCCTTCAGACACCAATCACAAGTCCCAGGTTGACACCAGTGTTCTTCTGGTTGACTGGCTATAAATCAGGGGTTCCCATA